GGAGGACTAATAACTATATATATTTTTTAAAAAAGCCTTTCAAATGTCAGTTACTCTCAGCTGAACCATTGCAGTTTCAAACTACAATGGTTTCAAATCGCAGCTACAAACCCTGTTACGGTTGCTTTAGAGCTTTGGCCTCCAAGTTTTTGTTCAGTTTTGATGTTGAAATCTATGATCTCTTGAGTGAAATATGAACAAAATATGACCACTTTTTAGTCTTGGGTAATTTTATGCTAATATTTGTTGTGGAAATGACACGTTTTTTTCAAGTGATTTTTTTATTTTTTATTTAATTGAATAATTTGATTTGTTAAATCTGATCTTAACTCAAAATCTGCAAATTGATGATGTGAATGTTTGAGAGACTAATTTCTCTGATCATATGCCTATCAGTTTTAAGTCTCCTACTGCCATTCAACCAGTATTTCTACTACTATTCTATTAGGACAACAATTGGTTGGCTTAAAAAAAAAAAAACACACACACACACAAAAAAAATTGGTTGGCTACAAAATGTTGTGGTAATAGGGCCGAGACTGTGGAATGAGCAGCCGTTATCCATCAAGTCTTTGTAAAAATCTTTCTTTAAAAATCTTTGTAGATGTTTAAGAATTTGCTGAAACCTCACTTAATGTTGGTAGCATGGTTACATTTTGTGTTTTATATGTTTTTGTTTTATCGGTCAATATGAGTTTTCATTTTTGAATTTTTATGTAAAGCACCTTTTGTCAACCTTTGGTTTATTTTTAACAGTGCTGTAGATAAGAATGACGAGCCTATAACAGGGCGAGGAGCTTACTCAAGGGTAATAAACTCTTAAAAAACTGATCAAATAAACAAGTGACTTTCTCTCACTAAGCATTAGTCGACACACAGGCACATGCCAAGGCCGAGAATAACTTGAGCGCTTAGCTAAGGCAAGGAATAAATACTCCAATCAAAGTGACCAAACCGGTGTATCAGATCAGAACTTGGTACTGGACCTAGTTGAAACCACACAGTTCACAAGGAAGGGCACGGGCAGCTGTTAAAACAACCAATACTAAATCAGCTTACATCCCTCAGCACAACCAAAACATGCGGTGCAAAAGAGGGAATCTGAAGCAGGGTTCCCACTCTTTTCTTGAAATGATTTTCCAGGACTTTTCCAAGACACTTTTCAAGACTTTTTCAGCTGCTACAGTGCGAATAAAGTTATCACAACTAAGACTGGGCGATATACCGATATGTGATATTGTACCTATACTGTTATAAAGATTGTTGTCTTTCACAATGCCACCTGCTTTCCTCTACTTGCAATGCCACACTAATGCCACTACTAAAACAGAAGTTTTACTTCAGTTCATACGGTGCTATTTTACTTGCTGATATCAGTTTAAAAGTCCAAACTCTCACAGTCAAGCCGTATTCGCAATTAGGCACTAACGTTAAAATTTTTTAACTATAATTGGACTTCTAAATTGCATCTGCTTGCACCAAGGCACATTATGCATCTGGTAGCTATACATATTGGCATAAACTGATGAGTTCTGTGTTTTTGATTATTACTATAAATTATTTTGTTTTAGCAAATCTTTGAAAACATTTTTGTCAATTATATTGAAAATGGATAGACCTTTTGTAAAAAGCTAAATGTGTTTAAATGCAAAATTTTTGTTTCTGCTGTCGGACAATAGAACAAGTATGAAATACTGACTGGAACGTGCAGAGTGCAAATTACTCCTTCTACTGCTCCTTCACTTCTTCTATGACCATGTGTAATTATAACATGATAAAAAAATTCTTGCTACACTATGTAGCCTGTAGACAATATTATGGACCAATGTGAGGGTTTTTGTGTCTCAAAATGAGGCAGATTATGAAAAATCGTAACACTAGGGGGATCCGGGGGACCCCCCTAGTGTTTCCAAGTGTTTGAAAACAATCTTATCTGAATAATTTTTTGTACCTTTATAAAGGGCACTTTCCCCTAATGTTATTTAATGTATGCTCTAAATTTCATTTCAAATTCTTACATTTTATTAATAGGCTACATTCAATTAAAATAATAAGACAATCTAGCCTATAGGCTGTTACCAATCAAATTAAATAATTTACATTGAAAGATTATAACTGTATTAAATTAAAATAGTGATACTTTGAAACTAAACCGCCAGTAGGAGGCAGCAGGCGGCCGTCTTAATGAGCGAGACATTGAGTCCCCCCTTCTATGTCCCAACCGGGTTGGCGTGTTCTCTGTCTCCGTTGCCTCTAGCCACGGTTAAAAATGGTAGGGTCTACAAAAGGGGTGTCTGAAATCGCTTTACATTAAAATGTTCCTACAGTGAAAATAGGAGATGACTTGTATTGTAACTGTAAGTATATTTTTCACAATATCACTAAAATTATCTGACACCCCAAAACTGATATTTCTGTCCCTTTGTAATTCGAACTATGGGAACTTGGCCCAGTAAGACTACCTGTTACCCGTCGCTATGTCGAAGCTTTTGCTGAGGCGGAGGGCAGGAGGAGAGGGACGGGAATGTCACGTTGTAGATTCGATAGACTCGTTATTCTCCGCTTTTCTACAATTAATAGCTGAAACTGCTGCACCACGCTGCTGCATCATGTTGTCAGACAGGAGTACCGCATGTGCACATTTGCCACAGAACTCACATGTCCGTAGTAGTTTGGAGGGGCAAGTCCCTGGGCAAGTCCTACCAGCATACTGAGATATCAAATTGCGTACTATGCAAAATGTGTAAATATTGGCAGGTTTGTGTCACGTGGGGCGCTGTGCTGGCTACATGCAGAATTGAAAGAAGACAAACACTTCAGCCCAATATTACTTGTTGAAGGTAGCTAAAAACAGACATTCATGCGTAAAATGTTTAAACCGAAAATAATTTTCCAGGACAATGCAAACATTTCCAGGACATTTTACTTTTTCCCCATTTTCCATGTGTTTTCCAGGACTGGAAAAATGGTCTTTAATTTTCCAGGTTTTCCAGGACGCGTGGGAACCCTGTGAAGGTTGTAAAATCTAGCAAAGATTTCTGAGAATACCAACCTGCACCAAACAAATGTCCTGAATAGACATCCCTTTATTCCAGGCCCAAGAAGAAGCCACACTCCTAGTAGAGTGAGCATGGACAACAATGAAACAAGTCTCATTTTTAGAAGCATACGCCAACGCTTTAGCTTCTACAATCCAGTGAGACAAGCCCTGTTGTGAAAGCGGCAGACCTAACCCCCTGGGGTAGGCTATCGCGCCGGCACGATTATCTCTATTTATTTCTATCAGTGCAAAAGAGACTCAAATAACTCTGTCGATTTTTGTGATACAGGCAAGTGTTATACATCATTCAAAACTGTTAAATGTCTACTTTTATTTGTGTACACTAATAATAAAAACAAAATGTTGTGTTTTTTGTAAAATAAAGAAAATAAACATGATGCACATTCTGTCGTCTCTCTCAATGTGAAGTTCATTCTGAAATGCGACAGAAAAGGATCTTTAACTCAGCAAATACTTGCCACCCACACGTGAGTTACATTAAGATAAATATATGCATAAGACATGCTTTTCCTTAAGCTTAAAACAGATAAAAACAAAAACAAAAAAGCAATCCATATGGAAGCAATGACATATACAGTTTCTTCAGCCCGAGCTGATTAACACTAATGTGACCACACCCACACGCATGCGAGCTGTTCAAATTCAAATGAACCACGTGAAGGATCGCAGAGCTGTTACCGCCCTCATCACCGCTAAACAAAGAATCAGCGACTCTGCTTTTCGTAGAGTTTGGAAGTGTTTGGTCTGTGCACCTTGGATCAGAAGAATTAGAAGAACAAGATTTGATTATGAGAACGATTTTTAAGGTAAGACACATAATACGCGTCTTATGGTTGGATATACTTTACATTGTGGCTACTAGTTAAACTGGTGCCAGACTAAAACCCAAGGCCTGCAGCATCTTCACCTGGCAGACCTGAAGCACCTCTATAGTGTAAATGTAGGATGCTTCATGCCCAGCTTCCATTTACGCCTTCTTAACAATGTGTAGCGTGGTATGGCTTCGAGGGCAATGACAGTGACGACTTACACCCACGAGGAGTCAGTCACAGGTGGGCTGCAACAGCTTCCTTGATGGACAGCGGTTTTGTGCAACCCAAGCAGTTGGCCCCATCGATAGAAGTAAGGAGATCCGATCACGCAGCCTGATGTGAGATCTCATCATGTAATTTGGGGAAAAATGGAGTGAGTCTCTGAGGAGCAGTGGTCCTGCTGCAGAAACCAGATCATGATCCATCATCATGTTCCTCGGTGGGTGTTCCAGAGGTGCCTAGTCAAGGTCCAGGTTCTTGACAGCCTCCGTAAGAATCCTCAAGCATTTAATCCTCCTTGATGGACATTGTGTTTCTGCCAGATTGTGGAAGGAGAGCAGCAAGGGAAAGCAGCATCCTCTTAAAAACGTAATGGTTGCAAAACTTGCCTTATGAATGAAAAATATTCAGGGACAATGGCAATGAGTGCTGAGCTATATAGCGGATGGCACAATGCAATCAGGATTCGGTATTAACGCAATGTCGAGCCGAAATTCAAGCCCTAAAACACCAACAATATTCATCCTGAGCAAATGAAATGAGAGAGGCGGTTTGTGTGTCAACTCACTTTCAGAGAATAGAGAGAGTGAGAAAGCACAGTTGGTATTGTGTCTATTCTGAGGGAAATGAGTATTGGAAGAGTTTCAGATATTTCAGTATCGATATATATATATATATATATATATATATATATAGAATTTTTTTTTATTTTTGACAACACTACATTGCACTTAGTTAGATGCCTTTTTTTTTAAAAAGACCACAATTGAAAATGTAGTGGCTAGTAGGAGTGAAAGTGTTACATGGCCCTGCTGAAACCCACCCACATTTGGCATGTGTTAATCTCAAGCCCTGGTAAGCACAGTAAAATGAGGCAGGTGTAATGAGGATCCCAGGACTGTCAGTACCTTGTATGCGATGCTGTTGAGAACCTTCATGGCTAGATCAGAGACGTCTGGAAATGGATCAGCTGCTAGATGCAGTAACACCCTCCAAATCTGTGTATATACACTGTTAAAAGACACTCCTGAAAAGAGAAAACATTTTGTTACTTTCATTTTAAATTAAGGGAATTATTTAATTGGTTAATTTAATGACAATTTGTGTAGAAACAACTCAGTAGAGTTAAACTGAAGCTCAGATCTTCCCTAGGATATTCCTTACAAAAAAAGTACTGCCGCCTCAGCATGGTACAATGATGCTATTGGATGAAAATACAGTGGTATTTTGAATTCATGGTACTGAACGATTAACGTTTCCATATACTATGATAGTTACAAAAATGCCAAGGTATTATGACTTACATGGAATAATAAATCAGAAATATAAAAAAATATTAAATATTAAATATTAAAAAGTTTTCAGTTTTCAGATTTATAAAACCGTTCGTACGCCAGAACCTGCGCAGAATTCACTTTATAAATCCCAGTCAGCGGGAGATTGTGCGCACACCTACCCGAAATAACCATATATGGAGATTACAACGCCTAGTTTTACTATGCATATCCTCCTCTGCATATCATTTGCATATGATTATTCATTCTCGTGATACCAAGTTTAATGCGGATGTACCGTTACATTATTACAAACATTTTTTTTTTTTTTTTTTGTAGCCTATATCCTTGCCTTGTTTTTGAATGACTAAATCAAATAGTGTTAAATACATTTCAAAGTTTTTCTCAATCTTTTCCACTGGCCAAATAGTATTTTTAATTGATTTATATTTTAATGGAAACAGATAGACATGGTTGGGCATTATTTGCACAAAACAATTTTCTCAGACAATCTGCTATTATCATGATTAGCAATTATTTCTAGTTAAAACATTAAAACACAGCATGCCAGAAGAAAAGTGTTCAAAAGCATTGCATCCATAACAAATAGGTCTATTTCTATTTATTGAATATAATTTTTTTGTAACTTCTCAGTAATGATTTCATGTAGTTTAAGTGTTTAACTCCATTACTGTCATTTTTAATCTAAATGTTTATATCAGAAGTGAAACATAGTTTAAATCATTCTTTTATTTATTTAAACTGTTATTGAGAACATGCACTCTATTTATGATTTGGACTCATAATGAAGATTTACGGTTTTATTCCATCTGCCGTTAGATTATAGGCTATACTGTATGTGCGTCAGTTTCACTAAACGGTCCAACGCGCGTGCTGGCGCAGTCATTTAAGAAGGGATGGATGTTTGCTTCAAGTGAGATAGGTTTGTGAAATTATATTTGAATAGGGGATTATCACGCTGATTCGTAGTACTTCCGGATTCTGTGATCTTTGTGCACTGCTACTTCCATTGAATCACCGATCTCGCTGGCGAACTGATGAAGGACTACACTAAGTTTATTTATACAGCATCCCTGGTAAATTAGTCTGATTCACAAAAGTGCCGGCTGCCAACAAACGTGCTACCTTGTTTTATTTTAAAGTTTTAATCCACTTCTTCCTTATACTCAATTCAGTCAGGAATCCATGAAAACTTAAGTAGGGTTGGCGTTGTTGGTTAGATTTACAAAGTGGAACAGAGTAGTGACATACTGTACATAGCATTCGTCTCAGGCATTGTTGAACTGCGTCGGAAGTGGACATGCACAAAGTTGAAAAATCCCGCCCATGAAACCCGGAAGTGTGATAATCCCCTTTTACATTTGTGTAGATGTATAATTTTTTTTAGATTCTCTGTCTAATAGTGAGCATAAAGACATTTGACTCCAGCTCAGCATTGGTGTCACCAAAACACATACTCTTCTAAAAGAGTGCGTACGCACGGTCAAGAGCATCCTTACGGTGCGCACTTATTTACGCCAAGTTTATTTTTTATAAATCCCGATATGTGCGTGGAAAAATGCGTACGCATATTTCTATGCCCATTTTGTGCGTACGCAACGTTTATACATCAGGCCCCAGATCTCATCCATCTTTCATTAGAAGCTGTCATTGCCAGTTTTGCCACTATCCTAATGTTATCACCTGGTCTGGAAATTATGTAATTTCAGAAGCCAGAAACAGCTGTGGGAAAACATTGATTTCAATCTGACATTTTCTCTCCTGTCCCTAGAGTGAACCAGCAACCGCAGATGACATTATAAGACTGTTTCTCTCAATTCTCATGCATTTTCATCATCACCTACAGCATGTCATTGGTGACTCTAGGTGAGTCACTAGTTTATCCTGCTCTGCACCACTCAGGTAATCAAAACACATTTCTTAAATTACATAGAGGTGCCATTCTCGCCTCATTAGAAGACAGGGCACATCTGTAATGTGTGCATGTATGCAAACTATCCTATCGGCCGGATGAGTATAAGCTGGAGCGCGTTAAGAAGTGTGTGTGAACGTCAAGAGACCATCAGGCAGATGAGCATATTTTGTGATACAGAAAGACTTTCTGCTTTCCGTGTGGTGTTGGCATGCACAGTGTGCCTTGCCATTCTAACGCATGCACAATCCAAAGCGCTTCATGAACACAGACTACAGGACCACCTCCTCCACCTCACTCTCTCTTCTTGCACTTTTCTCTATCCAACACAATAACAGCTGGTACAGAAAGCAGATGTTCAATGATCTTAAAGCCAATAAACTGTCTTCTGACCAGCACTCTAAATGATGATCTTAAGCAATTTGTACTGAAAAATTAGTAGTAATTTTCAACAAATCAAAAACAAAACTAATTTAAAAATAAAAATAATAATTGCAGCGAAGATAATTCTACAACCATCAAATAGTCACCAGTGGAGAAAGTGATAGTATAATACGGTATGGGGCGGGGCTCTGGCACACTTTGCTGATGAAAACAGAGCCATCATTTTCTACAGAGGGGCATGAAATATTCAGCAAGACTGCAGTGGTGTGCAACCTGGCACAGTTTCAAAACACACTAAGAAATGGACCCAATAATGAAGTAAGCGGTCAAAACATGTCCCTAAACATACCAGATTATTCATATCATAGTTTATTATGATATTATTCCAGTGCTGCTAAACATACTAGTACTGTAGCTCACTTTCCATGCATCAGCACGAGAGAAATGTGTATATGAGCAAAAACAAAACAAAAATATAGCTGCAAACAGCAATTACCGGGGCCAAGCAGCATAAGATGACAGGACATGCCAACATTGCTGAAAGTGTCAGACCAACTGAAACAATGAACAATTAAAGACATTTAAAGACAATTGTATGCGAAATGATATCGGCCGATTTGGTCAATTTTTTACACATCGGTATCGTTCCGATGTCAAAATAGGGCCGATGTGAACAGGCCGATGATCATTCCCTGTGTATTTGACGTGCGTGGGGGCGGGGATGTTTGTTTTTGCACGCGTATTAAAAGCGCAAGTGCGTTTAAACATCAAGCGCACGAAGACTGGAACTGGTGAGCTGTTTTCTGCCAGCCTTCCTAATGCGTATTTTTGTCCCGCCAAAGCCATATTTGACCGGTAAGTGATGTAGATGAGTGACTGGTGCGCTTGTTTAACTGAAGGAACGAGAGTCAATTAAAGCACCGGTCACGCGCGCCGCCTTCAAAATGTCTTTCGCTTGTTTAACTCAGGGAACAAGAGAGAGTGAAAGCACCGGTCACACGCGCCTTCTTCAAAATGTCTTTCGCTTGTTTAACGGAGGGAACAAGAGAGAGTGAAAGCACCGGTCACGCGCGCCATCTTCAAAATGTCTTTCGCTTGTTTAACGGAGGGAACAAGAGAGAGTGAAAGCACCGGTCACGCGCGCCGTCTTCAAAATGTCTTGCTTTCTCTCCCCCTCACGCATGTTTATGAATTGAGTTGACTGAATATCTTTGAGAATAAACGATGGTAAAAGGTTTGGAAGACCGAAGTTTTTTTCTTCTGAACTACTGGTTGTGAATTGTGAAACCACACTTTCAATAAACCAAAAAAAAAATCTATCGTGTTGATGAAATGTTTTCTGTGTCGACTGTCGAGACCATAGACTGTAAAAATAGGTCGAGACAAATCTCGTGCGATGTTCTAACTGCCTGGATAATCACACAACGTGGGCCGTGGTTCCGTTAATGACACGTCCGATTCGCGAACTAATGACTCCTTTGAACCGATTCACTTTAATGAATGGTTAAAACAACTGATCTGTCAACACTGAGCTCAAGATACATAAATCGGAAACACTTTACAATAAGGTTCCATTTATTAAAGTGTACATAAATGTACACTTTAATAAATGGAACCTTATTGTAAAGTGTAAGGTTAATAGATTAATAGAATGTTAACAAATTTTGTTAACATTCTATAGTTTCTGTGGATACTCCATGACAAAACTACCCCAGTCATTCTAGAATGATTCATTCTTTCCAAATAGAGCAATTCAAGTAATCTGGTGAAATTGTTTTTATATCACAATATATATCGCAGAAATATAAAATATCACAATGTCATTTTTTACCAATATCGTGCAGCCCTAATCCTCGCTATGTGTTTTCTATACAGGGATATCGACATCGGTAAATATCGGTATCGGCCATAACAGCAATGTTAATATCGGTTATCGGTATCGGCCACAAATTTTCACATCGGTGCATCACTAGAAATGACTGAAAAATCATAGAAACTGTAAATAAAAGTATGATTTAATGGATTATCACTTTCGACCAATAGGTGGCACAGTTACAAAACTGATGTGATGTGGTCAGAGTGAAGTGACAATGACACGTATAAAGTTTGGTGTCAATATGTCAAGGCATTGCAGAGATAAAGCCTGAATAGTGCTTTTAGAGTCACGCCTCAACTTTGCTGCCAGCGCTGTACGAAAATGGTTTCATCTATCGACACGAAATCTATAACTTTTAGTCGGCACGGTCTGGAGATGATACGATTCGATTTTGGTGAAAAACGGACAAATAGTTTAGGAGGAGTTCGAAAAAGTAGGTTTTGACTGAAAATCAAGATGGCGGACAGAAAGTTCGGCCAAATGAGGAAAACCTGGTATCCATGTTCTCAGCTTGACCCAAGGACCAGTGGCATTTCAACAGGCAGATTTATTCAAAAGTTATTAGCCTTTTTGGAAATTTTGTTATAACTTTTGACCACTAGGTGGTGCTGTTTTGAAATATTTTGAGTTCCTTCAGGGGATGGTGTTGTTGACATATTCTGAGTTTTTGAGACTATTAAGACCAGTGGCATTTCAACAGGCAGATTTATTCAAAAGTTATTAGCCCTTTTTGGAAATTTTGTTATAACTTTTGACCACTAGGTGGTGCTGTTTTGAAATATTTTGAGTTCCTTCAGGGGATGGTGTTGTTGACATATTCTGAGTTTTGTAATATTACACCATTACATTTGTTTAGTATAGCACTTTATTTCACAAAACTGTATAGAAGTCAATGGGAATTTCATGTTTTGTTCTATTATAGCACCACCAAGAGGCTCAGTCCCACATTTTTTTATGTGTCCTCAGAGTGAGCCCTTACATATGTGTGTCAATTTTGGTGAACATAGCTCAATTGGCTTCAGAGTTATAGCCATTTATATGAAAAAAAACACGTAAAAAATGACTGACACATGACTTTGTTTGAATTTTATCGATCACTATCGACCTATGTTTCCAAACTTCTGACTGTGGTTTCGTCTCGATCGGACAAGCGGTTTCGAAGATATAGCCAAATGTTGTTTTTGTGCTAAATCACAACACTACACAAACCGTAAGACGAAACCCAGCATGTTTGGTATCATTGGACTCGGCAACGATTCAGGAACTCAAAAAGATGACTCCTGTGAAAATAAGCCGACCACACACAAAGTTATAAGCATTTGAAAAAAACATTACTAGGTGGCGCTGTTTCGAAACTTCTCAGGCTCCTTCAGGGCATCGTACTTATGACCCATACCGAGTTTCGTAACAATTCGTTCATGCATTTAGAAAATACAGCATTTTAGTACATAATTCAAAATGGCCGACAGACAAAAGGGCCGATATGGGAAAATTGTCGACTCGGCATGACACACTGAATCTAACAAGAACAATTTTATTATTTTTGGACAAACTGTTCTGAAGTTATAAGCAAAAATAGCCAAAAACTATGAATATTTTTGATCTCCGGACCAGTAGGTGGCGCTGCGCCGAAATGCTGCATGTTGCCTCAGGTCATGCTTATGATGACTTGTACCAAGTTTGGTCTGAATCCGATAAAGCACTGCAGAGATACATCCTTATTTCTGTTTTCGCAAGCGCTACGTAAAATTTGTTCGTAGGTTTATCAAAAAAACGGTTAAGCGAATCAACTTGAATTTTATAACTTTGTCCTCATTTTCTGTAGATGATCTGATTAAATTTTTGTGCAAATCGGACAAACCGTCTAGGACGAGTTCGAAAAAGTAGCTTTTTTGGAAAATTCAAGATGGCCATATTTTTATGACGGAAAATGACATCATAGGGTGCAATCGAATCGGCATGAGCTCAGGAACAAGGGGAATTTTGATGATAGGCCTAACGGTTCAAATGCTATTAGCATAATAAAAGTAAACTTTGGACAGATGGTGGTGCTAGAGGGAATGAATTAGAAATACCAAAATTGGTGTATTTGATGTTGGGACTGTCCTCTATCAGAATGTCAAACTAAAACAACTTTCCCGCAATCGGTAAGGAAGAAGAATAATAAGAACGAGAACAGATACAATAGGTGCCTCTGCACCTTCAGTGCTTGGCCCCTAAAAAAAGCATGTTGTACTGACCATAAGCTATCTGTAACTTAAAAGATCAAACCAATGATCCGTAAACAATCACTTCATAATCGAATTGTCATGTTGGTTGAGCAGAGGAGGAAGCAGGATCCATGTGCAGCATTCTTATATTAAATAAACCCAAAACTTCAAAAATACAGACTCAGACTCAAGAGCAAGACTCAGGAATGGAACAACCAACATAACACAACGTTAAGAACTCACAAAGACTGAACTAGAGACAAGACTTAAATACAAAAAAACAACAACAACAAAACAAAACAAAAAAAATAGGATGACTAATAAAATATGTTATAAATATATAATAAATATTGTGGACTTGCAATTGTGATTGTTGCATCAGATTTGGCAAAAAATGTCATCCTTTTTCATGACTTGTCCATTCGTTCATGATTGCTATTGTTCTTATAAAAATTATTTTGTAGAGATTTGATGCTAGAAATTAATCCTAGAGAAGAAATTTTTTCATGGTGCTAAATTTCTCCATTAAGAAAACAATGTCTAACCGATAAATTTCTAGTAACATGTATACAAAGAAACATTTTATAGGAGAACATTTATATTACAGTACCTATAGATATTTCCATATATTGTCCATAAAAGATTCTTTCTATCTACTGTGATAGAACAACAACTGCTATAAAAACACCCTGAATCCAAGTATCCATGGTAACTGGAAGGTGCTTCGAACCCTGGACTCGAACCCTGCTGTGCTAACACTCATGTTTCTGCATTGCCTGGCTACTGATTTATGTATGCAAAGCAAAGTCACTCCTGGAGGTTGATTAAGGACTTGATTAAGGACTTGAAATGCAGTAGTCACAGATTATATTAAAATAAAACTGAGTAGAGGAAAAGGAGAATATAAGGAAAGGATGTGTTGACAGGAGGTCAGTGGATAAAGATAAAACAAAGAAGTTTTGTAAGTTGGTGGTGAGGGCTGTACTGATGCAACTCAGAGGAGTGAAAGGGTGAAGAAAATGAAAAAGGATGTGTGGCTGAATACAGAAAAAACAATAGTTAGACAAAAAATGTAACGATTGAATGAGACAGAAACAAATAAAAAGGATTGAAATATAATGGAATCAGATATAATAACTGTTTGAAAGTTGCAAAGCCTAAATCGGCCACACAATGACAAAAGTAGCAATTTGAAATATATGAAGGGGCTGACCAGAGCAAAAAATAAATGTCATAATAAAGAGAGAGAGAAAAGAGCATTTATGAGTGATACGACTAAGTTTCTTAAATTTAGAGGATCTATATGTTGAAATAGCTTCCAAAATAAATGAGAAAAATTCTGCTGCGGAGGGATTTTTTTTTAGTTTTCTGTTCTCTTGATTTAACCATTTATCCGCAGAGGCCATAAATAAACTAAGATTGACTTCCTTCTAAATTTTCAGAAAAAATACCAAGCTTGTGTGGAACAGGATTCAATTCAGTTTAGTTCAGTACATCTGAGAACTGTAAGTGTTACATAAAAATGATTTAAATTCAGTCATCAGTTCATTTGCAACCTCTCACTGCAGTTAGTCTGTTTCACCAGGTCAAGATTATAGTGAGATTAATAAATCATAGATTAGAAGTTTTATAAAAACTGGTGTGTCATATTGGCCAACCAGCTTATTTTACAGACAAATAAAATGGGCCTAAACATTTGCTCAGTCAATAATTTGATTATGACTGAACAACTGTGTGATATGTTCATATGGATGGACATTTTATATGTTAGAATATTGACAATAACCAGCAGGTTTTAAATTGAGTCTATATGATGTTGTTTATTTGACATTTACTTTGTTAGTTCTTTTTGGAGGTTCTGTTTGTGGTTTAATGTATATTTATTAGGGTTGTCAAGTGGTTGAACATTTAAAATCACAATTATTAAATCGCTCTCTTAAATTCTTGATTCTTATTGGTCAGAACTCTGTTTGACCTCTCCCTTAAACAGCAGGACTGAAATCCTCTCTAAAATCAGAGACTGCCTTTACATATCAAAATGAATCAGATCATCCCAAAACAATGCTAGTGAGATTTATAATCAAACATCATTGCATTGCATACAGTAATTCTAAATAATGTCTGTAACCCACACATTTGACTATCATGTTGTAATCACTCATTATTTATTCCCTTTTTCATAACAATTTAATAGTTCATAGGAATTATGGAGTGCTTGGTATCAGCATGAATGATTTTTCTACTTCTTGAATTATGGTATGAATCTAATTCATGTAAAATGTAATGTACTCTCATTGATAAAATTCAGGTCTAAATCATACCCTGCTAGTGCAGGAAAATTAAGAGACCATGTGACTAATAAGATAAGAGGTAATTTATGTGAGAGGAGGAGAAACAGTTATGTCTCAAACTAAAGACAATGTATAATTGGTCAGAACTCTAAGGCTGGACGAACATCTGAGTTTAAAAACTCAGGATACGAACAAAGCATTAGGTTAAGACTACGGCTTAAGACTGATAAAATGGTTTAAGACTATAAGACCAAACATTGTCATGCAAACCACCTAACTACTCATTTTACTCTCTCATTCTCACTTATTTTACTTTTCTTTCTTTTCCTGTTTTTTAATTATGACAGTGAATCTATAGAAGTTGGTGTCAGTGCTCTGTGCTCTGTGTGGATGTAGCTTTCCTGTTCTGTTTCAGTGAAGTCCTGACAAAACTCAGCCTTGAAGGGAAACAATATTGCCTAAGTTTTATCTAATTGTGCTTGCAGGATTATCCATTTGACTATAAGTAGTAGTGTTACAATATTTTAAGCTAGCTTTTCTCCTGGTCTTCATTGAGCATACAGCTCTTCATGCAGTAATTCCCCTACAACATAATCCCTTAAATCTTCTTTGAACTTGTTCATTCATCTTTTCTCAAAATGCTTGCTAGGAACTGTTTTTCTTCATTGAAGTTTCACATACTAATAAAATATCTCAGCTCAAATTAATATTTTGTTTCAGTTATTTACTTATGTTACAAATAGCTGCGTAATAAGTGGGATAATGTACATCAGCTGGTTACCACAAAGAATCAGGATCAGGTCTTGTATCACCCTGAAGGTCAATAACTGACCACAGGCATTGAATTATTCAGATTATAGCAAGCTTAACATTAAAGTATTGTGCAATGTTTTACATCAACACATTTGCCAGATTTTAAATAATTATTTTGTGTGTTGAACTAATTTCGTACACATCTCAAAATTCATTTTCAAAGGAATCCCATGAAGGTCAAGTCTATGGCTGTTGCTGAAACAGGGAATCTCACCAATAAGAGAATTTAAGGAAGAGTATGAGCTGACTCTCCTCATCTTGTCGATGGTTTCAAAGGAAAGTAGGTATTCATCATTATCAGGGCTGCCCAAAGTACTGCTGGCACTGCTACTGGTGCTCAGGTTCCCTGGAGAGAATGCTGCTGGACCACCTAGAACACACATTTAAACATAAGCATGGTTTGGAATATAGATAAGCGATATGACCACCATAATATTATATCAAAATATGAGTATTATTTCAAAATAACAATACATATCATAATATTCAGTACTGTGCAAAAGTCTTAAAGGAGAACTCCGGTCAATTTTAACATTGAGCTAATTTTTTTGTACATTTGGAGTGCTGTCAGTACAGACAAAAAACAACAAAAATCGGTGTTGCCTACACCGTGTTATCGTCTTTTTAAAATTCGCACCCTGTTGACTTCAAAGGGGCATGTTCTAAACCTGCTTTTAGCCTCTTAACATCCTTGATTTGTCATTACGAGTGTGTCATTAAAAGTGACCATGGTCAATCTGACTGCAGTAGATGTGAAAGATATGAATAAAAATGATGTTAATTCAGCCAGCTCACCTATCTCTATTTGCTTCCTGTTTTCGGTCGAAGCTAAGGGTGCTCCGATTGATCGTCTCCGATCACACTCGGCCGATAATTGTTCTGGGATGTGTGATCGGCGGTCTCTATAAAGGCCGATCCAGAAAAGCCGATCAGATGACGCAAAACTCGCGAGACAATTTTTTATGCTGTGGTAAAGATGGCTTCAGCAGTCTGGCAATTCTACAAGGTGTGTGAAAAAGCAATTCACTAGCAATCCATCTGCAATGTGTGTACCACGCCGCTGTCCGATTGTCAAACTGTGCAGCCTCTCTGATCAACCCGTAAAATCACCGGAAAGAATAGAGTCCGTCCGCAAAGGTGATTGATTGAAGCGAGCGTCCGAGCCTGCGCGAGCTACAGAGAACACTGTATCCACTGATTGCCGCAGGAACGAGCGCTCAGCTTGAGTTTAAAAACAAACACATTTTAACGCTAGATTTCGATTTGATTTTGAATGCTCTAGTTAACTGGAGATGTTTTATTTATGTGTATTAGGTACATCCATGCCTCAATGTTACAAAAATTGGTGGGGGAAAATCTCAATCCTTAAAGTGGTAGGACATGACTTCACTAGCTCTAAATAATTCAATCTAACCATGTGACCAGCAGTGGTGGCTTTTTTAATCTGTTTAAAATAATTCAGCAACGGTTCTTGCAAACATAATTTTTTTTACCAAAATATTGATGCTTAAAGGAGAACTCCGGTGCAAAATGAACCTTTGATCTAATTACACATTGTTACCTAGTCAACCGTTATCTGAGATTTGTTTTCATGATTGCCGAATGTAAATAGTTTTAACTCTAAAAACAGTTTAGCCTATAACGCTAGTATAATGCTAGTATATAGGGCATAGAGTAATGTCAAATAAAAATCGCTTGTTATTACCACTAACAAGGCTCGAAATAGCCCCACAGTAACACGGTAGCATAATAAGGGTCCCTACATTCAAACCGAAGCATTGAGAACTTTGTCAGTGTCCATACAGTTTAATAAGAAGATATTTTATACACACAGTCAACTTCGCGAACACAGGAAGAAGCCATCTTTGAAAAATAGTCTCTACCAGTCAATCTACGAATGCCGATCCAAGTGCGCTGAACTGTGCAGAATCTCAAATGAGTTGTTTCCGGAAGAAACACAAACACGAACCATTTTCTTCTCTTCAATATGTACATGTAGACTAATGTTCGCGCTCACCTTATCACCTTATTCACATCTCACCAGTGCACTTGGATCGGTGTTCGTAGATCAACTGGTAGAGACTATTTTTCAAAGATGGCTTCTTCCTGTATTCGCTTTTACTATTTATAAATTGTTGACTCTGTTACCCAAACTCTGAGCGAACTCTCCGCTCCTCACCACGGCGTGTCTCAGGTGATGCGGTTTTCACTCCGCCAAAGTAGCAGTGCTTCGCCTTCAGAGAATAGTTCCCAGGTTTTATACGGTTAAAAGATGTCTGTTTCTCATATGGCCTTGATATTTGTACACTCTGTGACTATACAAATCACAACATGTAAATAGGAAAACAATTGCGTTATTTTGTCACTCATTTGGATTAGTATGAAAGTGCAACCATTCACATCCAGTCTTTGTGCTAAGCTAGGCTAGCGGTGGGTGCGACTTAGAAAAACTTAGAAAAAAAAAAGGTAAAACTTCCGAAATCTCTATGTAAACAATGAGTGACGTAGACGCGCGCGAGATCACTTCCGGAGGTACGTTGGACATGGTTCAGTTCGGTTCAGTTGGACATCTGATTCAGATCAGTTGGACATGGCTGTTAACAAGAGGAAAAAAACTATAAATACTGTTCGTTTTCTCACACAAACCGCTCGTTTCGTGTCTTAGGCCATCAATGTGTACTTACATTTACGAGTCATTAAATCATGTTTAATTTTGACTTCTCTGTGCATGCTCTTTGACGTGGACCCCCATACCTGCATTATATGACTGACAGACAACAACGGTTTGACCAAAAAATGTCAAAATTGAAAATACTGTGGAAACAAAGACACCTAGATCTTGAATGCCCTTCAGGTAAGCTAAAACATATCAACAATTAATTTCAAAGTGAACAATCCCTTTAAGAGGTTTAGAACATGCCCCATTGAAGTCAACAGGGTGCGAATTTTAAAAAGATGATAACACGGTGTAGGCAACAACAGATTTTTGCTGTTTTTGTCTGTACTGACAGAACTCCAAAAGTACAAAAAAATTAGCTCAATATTAAAATTGACCGGAGTTCTCCTTTAAGGCCCTTGCACACTGAGACCGAAATTTTCGTGATTCAGTGGCTCAGAATTGTCAAAACACCTTTCAAACACCATTTAAACTGCTTGCTACGAATGCGAAAAACACAGAAAATTGAACCTGATACGATTTTTTTTATGACTGACTAAATTTTCAGAGGCAGTGTGTAAGCGTGATTGACATCACGTGAGGTCATATTTATTTCGTAACGTGCAAATATTTCGGACACACAAAGGGTGGTCACACCAAGTATTGATTTGATTTAGTTAATAGAAGTTAACAGATAAATGAAATCTATTTATGACATGATTTTTGAAAACATCCTCACTTTACAGCATTTTTACGCAAGTGCTTAAAGTTTTTCACAGTACTGTAGCTATGCAGGTAGGTTTCCTAAAGCGTATCCGAGACTTTAACACAGTTCTTCTGGATTTAGTCTATCTCCATTTTTTTCTGTTTCTTCATGTAATCCCAGATGGACTTGATGATGGTGAGATCAGATCTCCGTGTGGAGCATACTGGCTGTTGTCAGACTCCTTGTGAATTTAAAAATCTCACTGGATTACTACAATTAATGTCAAAATGAATGTTTGGAAATGTAAACTGATATTTCCTACTGACACACTACAGCAGACAACACACATAACTGTCTTAAAAGCCATTGTGTGTGTGTGCTGCTGTGCTCCAAATACTTTTTGCACAGTACTGTAGTTCTTTTTGGCAGAAAATAAGCTTTTTAAAGTATCAAATTTTTTAAAATCAGAAATGTCTTTAAATTCTTGATACCAATTTCAATACCACTACTAAGCTAACTAATGTCTTAAAGTCTTAAAGAAAGTCCTTGTGTTGAAGACTAACTAAATTCAGGCAATAGAATAACGACAAATGAAAAAAGGATTCAAGTAAGAAATTAGACCAGCATGAAGGTGAGTAAATGTTGAATTAATTATGATTTAAGACAATTTTCATCATAAAGGTATAATCGACTATATTTACATTTATACTCACTAAAGGCCTATTCATGCCAAGGATGATACAAGATATAGTTCTACAAATTGTTCTAAATAAAAAAGATGATCAGAGTCCACACCACAACTATAACGATAACAGGACAGAGTAGCAATATTGTCCCAAGCAGAGCGAGTCCAAGAGACATGGGAATGGAGCAGAGCTCCAGAAGAATAAAAGGAAGAGGGATGACAGTTCAACACAAGAGAGGAGAAGGCCTGGACTTTAGTGGGTGTTTTGTGTTAATTTGCTTTCGTTTTGTTGTTTGTTTATTTTGTAATTAAAACTTACGTTGAATGTTCCCCGGTTCCCGCCTCCTCATTCCCTGAGCCTTTAAACCTTGTTACATTGGTGCTGAAACCCGGGAGAAAGGAGGGACACGCTGTCGGACAGCCCTCGCTGCTGAGGAGGATTGCGGTTCTGAGGAGATTGGGCAGCACAAAGGGGCGGGAATCGGCGTACGTTCAACTTAACTTCTATACACAAAATAAACAAATAACAAAATGAAAGCAAAGCGGTAGCTCCTCATGGATGACTGCCACTTAAAAAAAAAAACACTGGCATAAAAGTCCAGGCCTGGTCCTCTCTCGTCTCCTTTTATTCTTCTGAAGCTCCTCGCTGAGACACGAGACCAGTGTGGCACACAGGTGACACTCATTAGCAATCACTCCGTTCCCATGGCTCTGGGCCCTGTACTGCCTGCCACAGATATCTAATCAGAAAACACCAGACTTTAAAACAACTTGTATCTAAAGCGGCAGATATCGTATGAAGGTAAAAGAGTAGCAATACTCAAGAGCACATAGATGTGAATATGAGAACTTGTACAATAAATATTTGTAAGTGTACGTGAACACTCAGAGCTTCAATGTAAAAACCTGTAATATAAAAATTTGGTTGAATGTTGAAATTTGCACTCGCAGACGATAATCACAAACCTGTATTCTGAATCTGAAGCTGCAGACAAGCAGTCACAAATGTGTAAAATGCCATTCACAGAAATACAATGACAGTCACAAACATCTAAAACATATTTGTAACACTTTAGAATACTGTATCTTACTTACGGCAGAATTAATAAGGAATTATTGACGAACTAATAGGTAATTCTTCATTCAGGGTTCCCACTCTTTTCTTAAAATGATTTTCCAGGACTTTTCCCAAGACATTTTTCAAGACTTTTTCAGCTGCTACAGTGCGAATCAAGTTATCACAACTAAGGCTGGGCGATATACCGATATGTGATATTGTACCTATACTGTTATAAAGATTGTTGTCTTTCACAATGCCACCTG